GGTTTCGCGTTGCGATTCTGTCGTTGCGATTTTCATTTCGCGTTGCGATTTTGGTTTCGCGTTGCGATTTTAAGTTTCGTGTTGCGAAAGTAAACTATTTCTTCTTCTGCAAATTGAAACTTGAATGGATTGCATTACTTCAACCAAAAGACAAAACAAAGACAAATACTATTTCACAGTGTTAAAGAATACACAGTTTAGCAGAATTGGCAGCAACCGAACAAATTTACTTTCAACCAAAAGACAAAACAAAGACAAATACTATTTCACAGTGTTAAAGAATACACAGTTTATCAGAATTGGCAGCAACCGAACAAATTTACTTTCAACCAAAAGACAAAACAAAGACAAATACTATTTCACAGTGTTAAAGAATACACAGTTTAGCAGAATTGGCAGCAACCGAACAAATTTACTTTCAACCAAAAGACAAAACAAAGACAAATACTATTTCACAGTGTTAAAGAATACACAGTTTAGCAGAATTGGCAACAACCGAATAAATTTACTAAGCAATCTAAGTGAAATGGCTAATCTAAGTGAAATTACGAGTAAATTTATCATTAAGTTAAATATGGAAAATCTTAAACTTACCTCGTTGCGTAGAGTATGAACCTCATTCTGCAACGATACTATCATCTCACGTAGAGCGGCAACCTCACCACGTAAAGTTGACACCTCCACACGCCATGCACCATCGTTATCGCGTAGAGTACCGATCTCCTCACGCAAGGCATTGACCTCATCACGTAACTCCCTTGACTCATCCCGTTGAGGTGGAGGTGGAGAACAGGGAGATAGGAGTCGTGGCATCTTTGCCGGTCGCCTATCATGAGGTGATGGTGGAGAAGAGGCTCGATGATGTGACGGGATAGGTGATGGCTCTCGTTCTAGAGGTGTATAGTCGGGTCGATCGGGTGATGGCTCTAGGTGAGGTGATGGCTCTCGAATTGGAGGAAGTGGATGCTGCTCATCATTCGTGCCATCAAAAAAACTCTGACTAGCTTGCCACCAATCAGTGGCAAGCTCTTCCTCCGTGGGTGTCAGTCTTTGTAATGGAATGTTGGCCTCCTAAAATATAAAAACTCAAACAAAGTTAAACGTCTACTATTAATAACTTGTTTATATATTATATGAAAGTATTTGTGTTAACTTACATTATTTATTGTCGCATATGGTATTAAGTCTTCCCAATCCAACAGAGTTTTCCTCTTCCAGGAAATAGCCCTGGGAATATCATTGACGTTTTTATTGCATATGTACGCATGTTGGGGAAAGCCTCGAATATCCAAATCTACAAACAATATAACAAAATTAGTAATTTTTAAATAATTAATTATAATTTTAGAAACATTATATAGAAATTCTTACCTTAAAGGCCCAAACAAAGCCTGACAAAGTGTATTTGGACCCATCGCCCCGCAAACTTTTGCGGTCATCAAAGGCAGACGACAACTTAGTCCAGGTAGCTTTCCATATATACGAACCCCGCGGAAACAGATTCCATGCATTCAGGTCCTCTACCAATATTATTAGCTCCCGATGAATAGGTTGTCTGGCCTCTCTGCCTAAAAAGTCGGCATACACAAGTAGTAGAAGGCATACTCGGACAACATCGACGTCATCCATCCGAGTGAAACCAGCTTTCTTATTAAACAATTTCTTCAGGTCGTCGACATGTAGGTTCGGCTTCTCCATTGACTCATCCGGAAAAACCCGGGATAACCATGATGGGCGGGCAATATGACGAGTGTACCGGCCTACATCATCGTGTCCGAATCGTAGACCAGTGATTAAGCAGAACTCCTTACGCCCAAAACAAGTATACGCTGGTGGAAAATGAAACCATATCTCTTCCTCACCACGTTGTATAATGTCGGGTAGATTTGATGTCATGGTCTGAAGCCACAAATGGGTCAAATTAGCATCTCCACCCGGATGCTGTACTCTCAGCCATGGCCCGAAGCAGGTTTCCTCAAACAATTGTCTTTGAGCAGGTGAAAGCTTCGAAGCAATTGTAGTGGCCAGGCTGACTTTATTTCTCAAGGTCAATTGAGCCGAAAAAAATTTCTACAAAAACAATAAACATACCAAGTTAGATATACCAAAAACTACACTGTGAATATATACCAAAAACAATAAACATAAAAAGTAGTAGTTTATTCTTGAAACTAAAATTTGCAACACTGTTTTGTCTTTTGGTTGAAATGAAAATCGCAACGAGAGAATCGCAACTCGAAATGAAAATCGCAACTAGAGAATCGCAACGCGAAATGAAAATCGCAACGAGAGAATCGCAACGCGAAATGAAAATCGCAATGCGATTTTGGTTTCGCGTTGCGATTCTCTAGTTGCGATTTTCATTTCGCGTTGCGATTCTCTCGTTGCGATTTTCATTTCTCTCGTTGCGACAGTCATTCTCTCGTTGCGATTTTCATTTATCTCGTTGCGACTCTTCTGCAAATTGAAACTTGAATGGATTGCATTACTTCAACCAAAAGACAGAACAAAGACAAAGACAAATACTAACTTGAAAATCGCAACGAGAGAATAGCAACGCGAAATGAAAATCGCAACGACAGAATCGTAACGCGAAATGAAATCTAAGTGAAATGGTTAATCTATTATTGAAATGACCAGTAAACTTATCATCAGTTTCAATATGAAAAACCTACAATAATGCAAACATTTCAAAATAAAAATAATTAAAAAAACTAACCCTCGGAGGTTGATTTTCCATTTCTGAATATTGTGAGGGATTTCTGACCGTGAATGGTTGTGAGGGATTTCGCCGGAGATGGGGACGGAAATCTTCGAAGATGGGGACAGATTTCTTCGCCGTAGAGAGTGAGAGATGGAGATGGGACTGAGTTGTGATTTTAGGTTTTAGGTTATGAGTTGCGATTACGGGATTTTGTCTTAATATTGGTTTTTGTAATTTGAAAATAAAATACGCGTAGCGATTATAATGGCGCTTTAAATATCGCGTTGCGATTTACGGATACGCGTTGCGATTTTATGTATTATCGTTGCGATTTACGGATACGCGTTGCGATATACGGATACACGTTGCGATTTACGGATACGCGTTGCGATTTATGTGTTCGCGTTGCGATTTTCATATTCGCGTTGCGATTTTGGAAAATCGCAATGCGAATTTGTACTATCGCATTACGATTTTCAAGAATCGCGTTGCGATTTTGGAAACTGATTTGCGATTCTGGGGATCGCGTTGCGATTTTTATTTCGCGTTGCGATTTTGTTGGTCATTTTGGCAAATCCAAAAAAAGTTGGTTAAAATCGTATATTATAACTTTTTTTTGGTCACTGAGGCGATTTTCTCTTTTTTAATTGAGGAGGTCGAGTAAATTTTTATTTAATTATTTTCCAATATATATATATATATATATATATATATATATATATATATCAATATTAATTAAAACTTTAAAAAAATTGGTGGGAGCCAAGGCTCCTCGTGGCCCCATGAAAGTCCGCCATGTATATATTCACCACATGAACAACAGATTTGATATGTAAAAAAAATAATGTTGACAAAAATTTTAGAAGAAAATTTTAGGCATGTTAAATCCAATATGTCCATTTGTTAAGCACAAATGATTTGGTTTATACGATATTTACAATTTAAGGACTCAATTAAAATATTTTAAAAGGTTAAAACTAATATAAAGTTTGAATCATAGTTTGAGGTTTTCTATCCACAATTAACCCTAGAAGGGAAAAAAGGAACGAGAAAAGGCAATAACTATAGGAATTTTTATGATGCGCGGTTGACGAAGTAAAAAGACGCGTAAGCGCATTTCACAGTGACCTCGCTAGTGACGATTAACTAATTAAAACACGTCATTAATTATGGATCGATTTTATAAAATAAGATGTTAGATTTTTTAACGTAATTTCATATATTTAATTTTTATTGTAAATATAAAATTTTAAACTAAAAACATCGTTTTATAATAATTTTTTATAATATTTAATTAGAATTAATCGATAAATCAATTTATATGGTAGCTATATAAAGTAATAGCACGTCGCAAATACAATAGAGTAATAAAAAGTCGATATTCTTTTAATTAAGAATATATATAACGATGATGATGGGTCAGGTCGAGTTATTGGTTTACTCGAACTATACTCGAATATGATATTCCTCTATCTTTCACTTGATTCGGGTTTAGCTAAGTTATTTTCAATCCAAAGTTGGATTTGACTTTTAACGTGAAAATTTACACGAATTGATTCTATACATACATATGATTCTTATTTTTTTATTAGATAAAATAGGTATGTTATTAAAAGAAGTATAGTTAGAGAGATATTATAGCAATTATTCTTCAGTGTATAAAAGTTAATTATAAAATTGTTCTCGAGTAAGACTATATACTTTTCATTTTAAATTTGAATTCAATTTCAACCTTATTTTTTTAAATTGAATATATAAAATCTGATCGGGTTAAATCTAAACTCGTCGAATTCATATCAATATACTCATGTCTAATTATATAGTCAAATCAAATAAAAATAACATCGAAAAAGTTTTACCTCTCATTTGATGAAATAATTTAGGATAAATTACACTTATAATATCTAAACTATTATTATTTTTTCATTTTGGTATCAAATTTTGATACCCATCATTAAAAACTTAATAGTAATGTTAATGTGTTTCTATAAGGTAATATCATGTCATCACTGAAAAAATAAAAAAAATATCACATTAGTAGTTATGTTAAATTTTTAACGACGAGTATTAAATTGAAACTTAAACTAAATGTTAAGTATTATTTAAAAAAAAGCTAGAATGCCAAAACATAACAAAAATAATAATTTAGATGTTAATTGTGTAATTTATCCTATAATTTAACTCGACTTTAAAAAATAATTTGCGTGGTTACCAAACACATAAATCGTTTTCGGAAATACAATTTGATATATATATATATATAAGCGTAATACTATGCGGTCCAAATTCCATCGCCATTACCGACCTCTCGATCTCCCCGTTTCTTTCCAGGGCAAAAGCCCCTAAATATCTCATCGTCTCCGTTTCCTTCGAGTCTTTCTTTCCCATCTTCTCTTATTTCTTCCCTCTGATTATCGGTTTCCTTCGCGAGAAGAAAGAAGACGATGGCTCAAAGAACCGAGAAGGAGGAGACCGATTTCAAGGTGCCAGAAACCATGACGCTTTGCGTTAACAATTGTGGGGTTATAGGCAATCCGGCCACCAACAACATGTGTCAAAATTGCTTCAACGCCACCACAACAACCGCCGCCGTTGCTGGTTCCAGTTCTCAGTCGTCGAGATCCACGCCGTCCCGTTCGCCAAACAAGCGATCCGATTGTTCACCGCCTAGAACGGCAACGTTTTCGCGCGTCGCGGGTGCGAAACTGGTTGCTGGTACGGAGAAAAAGGTGGTGAACCGTTGCTCCGGATGCAAGAAACGGGTCGGGTTGACCGGGTTTCGATGCAGGTGCGGGGAGCTTTTCTGTGCGGATCATCGGTACTCGGATCGACACGACTGCAGCTACGATTACAAGACGGTGGGGCGCGAGTCCATCGCCAGGGAAAATCCAGTTGTTAAATCGGCGAAGATAATCAAAGTCTGAATCATTTATATATTGTATCGAAATCAAAATTAAATTAAACATATTTCTTCACCATTTTTCAACCTCCTGGAAATTTTAGCTAGCTTTGGGTATGGATGCTCGATCTAGAAGATCGTTTTAAAAAAAAATTAAATCAAAGAAGAGAAAATATTCACGTCAAGATTGTTGAAGTTGAAGAAGATGATTCTCTCTTCTTCTAGTTGTTCATTTTTCACCTTGCTTCCCTTTTCTTGGAAAAAAAGAATTGTATTAGGATTCTGCCATTTTCATTTTAGTATTTTCCATTCAGATGTAACTCTTAGATTGTTTGTTCAAAAATTACAAATTTGTTGAAATTGATAATTGCAATTTTCTTCCAGATTTACAATTCTGTGATCTTCTATTTAAAAATTACAAAATCTATAAATGAACGATCGTTCACAATTGTGTTTATACATTAGTAATAATTAGCGACGACAGAGTAATAATTAGTGACGATTGTATACATAAGTAATAATTAGCGACGATTGTAGTCTTCGTCGGGAAAAGTAGCATTACGTTTAAAATTAAATAAACAGTGTCGCACATAATCGTTCTTCCCAAGCTAACTTAGCTGTCGCCCGAAAAACAATGGGTAAAGTCCAAATCCATTGTACGCTTGGAAACCGAATATACATATATATAATCGATTATTATTTATATAATAAAAATAGTATTTTTATAGTTAAAGATAATTGAATTATAATTAATCATTAATTTTTTAAAAATAATAGATTTATTGTTAAATTATTATAAAATATTACCATAATATTATAAGAAGTGTCAAAATTAAAAAGTTTGGTACATTTAATAATTATAAAAGTATTTAATGATCATTAAATTATAATTAAATTATTTAAAATGAAAATAATTTTAATTTTTTATTAGTTTTGAAATAGTAAGAATGCTTTCTTGGGGGAAAGGTGCCCTAGAGGAGCATTTAGTATTATTCTTTTATTTATTTATTATTTTAATAATAAAAAGGGATTATAATGTAATTTTAGCATGTGGAGCATCATTTAAAAGCAAGGTTGCCACCCTTGCGGAAGGCATCGTCAGCACGCATTATTATTATTATTGGTATTTGTTATTAATATTAACATCATCATCATCAAAGGCTGTCAATAATTTTCTTATGCTGGAGCCATTCAACAAAATATTACAAAATAGCATAAAATAAAAGCAAACTTTTACGTTGTTTGAAATTAAAAGTTAATAAATTAATCATATATATTAACTTTATAACACAAATCATATACAAATTTATTAACACATTTAGTAATATGTGCGAATGTCGAACTACTATTTAATATTCCATCTATTCTCGTGATTATTTTTTTAATTTCAAAAGCATACCCAACATACCGTTTTATTTTTATTTTACTCAAGTTTAACTATTGATTAAATTGAAATACTTATTATAATAATTTTAGTCCTAAAAAATTAAGCATTTCCAAACCTCTCAAGAGATATATTGTAAGCAGTGAAGGAAAAATTTTTGAAGACAAATTAGCCTACATCTTGACAGAAAGGGGAAGGTTACTTTCGAGTGATTATAAGCTAGAGAGGCATTATCAACATAAGACCAGAATAACTTGTTGATAATGCACTCTTGAAAGCGACAACGACAACGATGTAATGACCGCTACTTGGATGTAATCAACACAAAATGTACCTCAAGATGGATGATGGTTCCACTATTTGTTGCTTTGTCCAACAAAATATAAGCATGGCACTTCTGATGTTCACTCCTCACTACTTGAAACAACAAACATGCAGACGGGCAAGTGAATTATGCCTAAAGTCCAAATACAAGTAATAGTAAGCACTCAAGGGACAAACGTAATAAAGTGCCAAAAGTCAGACATTTGTTCTAACATTTTTCGTCGACAGTGTCTAAAATGATTCTCTTAAACACCCCAATGCTATACTGGTGACTACGGTGCTTCAACTTCGAAATACTAAGGTTTGCTGTTTTGGTGTTGATAGCTTTCAAGATATAAAAACATGCACAGAGAAAAGCAGACTTGAAAATGTACGAATGTAACAGCGAAGGGATGCAATGCGGCCATTTTGAAGAGGGATCAGATCAGGCTCCATCTGGCTGGATGAAAGGATTGGCAATCTCATCTGTGCCATCAGTTGGTGACACCAGCATAACCGCTGTGCCCCTACAAACCTGCATGAAATAATTAACATATTGTTCTACTTCAAATGCGATAATTAACTTGCATCCTATAAACCCTTTGGGTTTTTATTACAATCACTTCCTATTATTTCTTATAGTATATAACACATAATCATTCCATTTTTTATCTTTAGTACACATGGATTTGATCTTTCTTCACAAATTTTAATTCAATAATCAATATTTTATGCCAATGATTCTTGCTTAAAGTTGTTGGAAAAGCATGAAATATTAATGTCATGAAGCAATAGTGATTCAGTTGCGGTGACAAACTCAACTGAAAAAAACAGTATTAAAAACAACAATTTTGATTACATTGCCTATGAACGATAAGGTAGCATAGACTCTGCAACTTGGGCAAATTTTAAACAATCTTGTCAATGCTGAATTTGTTACCATTTGGAAATTTGATACCTATACCTAACAACACAATGATCTTGACACTAAAGTTTCTCAAGTGGATTTCACATGAATATGGTTTAGACATGTAGACAGCCAAACTATTCTCAGGTCATAGGTTCAGGTTATTAAATCTATACAGCTCCAGCAGAGAAATTACATGCATTGATGGAAAAAAATTGGATTACTTCTCAAAATAGCAACATAAAATTGAACAATAAACTGTAAAATGGGTAGAGAAGGGAAGAAATAACATACTATCAAACCAAGACGCCTAGTCTGATCGGTAGTCTTCAATGGATCATCCTGGTCTGCAGAGTATCCATAAATAGAAGAGCGAATCAATTTTTTTTTGCATAAGAAAGGAAAGCAGATACCAAACCCTACCAAAAGTTTCAAGTTTCAGTTCACAACTGTCCACACTCTTAATTGCTTACACCTCAAATAGAACTAGAGAACAGAAAGTTTCGCCTATTGAGAATAAGAATTGACTAAATACTTTCATGAAAATTTGCTATAAAAAGTTGCCTACAAATTCAATTCTGTAAACAGACCATCCGATAAGTAGGCCATCCAGATTACACGTTTAAGATTTTATCCATAAAGCCATTGTTTTCCATTAAAAAAGGAGATGTACTAAAGAGAGAAAAAGGGGGGAAACATTAAATTCCCTCAGTGGGTAAAACATAAAGAAATTGCATAAACAGTAACCACACTCAACCAAACAATGATCAGATCCCCAAAACTGCCATGCAACAACTATTTGGCAAGATGTAGCAACTACTGCAAGAATTTATCTCAATGAGCTGATACTAATTGCTCAGCATGCAGTAAGCATGTGTAATGGAAGGGCTCTATAAACATGCTTATTTTTGCCTAGATTAAGAAGCACAAGTTCAAAAAGTTAATTGATGGAGAAATCTTGTAGCTCTATAGGAAGCTTATGGAGCAGACTTCATCTGTTTCCCCAGTGCTTTTGAAGCTAATTAAAGGGCAGTAAGCAACAATCACACAGCAAAATTGCAATTTTCAATTTAAGAGGGCACACTAAATCAGAAGCACAGCCTACTATTTTTTTTGTTTATCGTGGACAGAAAAAGAAGTAAACACTTCTTTGTAGTATGAGATGGTTGATGGTAGACAATGCATAGAAGAATCCTTAGAAGAGGTGGAGCAAAGAGAAAGTGCAACATAATTTATGTGAGGAAAAAAGTGAAATACTCTGCATTGAACCTATGCTACTTGCACTTGGCCGAGAGTGTAAGACAAGGTATGTGTCCAACACATAAATGATTTCTTCTTCCATGTATTTAGTGCTCCTTGGAGAGTTAACATGGGTACTTCAAGAAAAATGAACAATAAGAACAACATACCATGAAACTACAAACAGTTACATAGGTAAATATACAAGCAAGAATATAGTCTAAAAGCTAACAAGATGTATTAAACCACACCAATAAGCATGTTTACTATGTGCCAGAGGCAATTACCTCGAAGAAACTCTACAGCTTCATCCAGGACAAGATTTAGTAGTTGGTCATATCCTTTTAGGGTCCCTGTGACTGAAACAGGAAAAACGGCTCATGAAAAAGACAATACATAAACTCGACTAAACAATGGGAAAAAGAAAACAACTGCCATACATCTAGGAAACATTACATGGTGCAATACTTGGCATTACAGCCTAAAAGGTACTATTACTTGATGAGGTAACATTAGATTCCTGATGTCAAATTCTTTCTATATAGTAATTCTTCACCATCACTCATAATCTAAACCCATATAACATTCGATTCTTAATTACCAAATCAGTCCTTTTATATCCCCATAAAAACCTTCAGAATGATAAAAACTGAAAACCGAAAGCTTAGCAGACAGACCTTGTCTACCACCTGTGAGTTTGACCTGCACACCTTTGTCTACAAACTTAGCCAAATCCAAGACAGTTTCTTTCCTGCCCGACTGGAAAAGCATAAGCATCCATTACAAGCTATTGTTTCAAGATTAAAAAGCAGCAACAACAGAAGGTAAACTAGGACTAATCCCTTAACGGGCAATTCTAAGAACAAGGTTTAAGTTAACCATTAGAGCTTAAAGTGATATAGAGAAGTGAAATTTACCATATTGTTGGTAGTTTTGACACTTGTGTGTGATTTCTATACCCTTGCAAATGCAATTTTTCCAGGCCTTACCCAGAAACTGTAAACAACAAAGGGTAAAATTTAATGGATTTAGCAAAGAAACAGTGCGAAGAAGTATCAAATAGCGGCGGCGCTAAAGGCCTCAATAGCAGCGGGTCGCGGCCACAAATCAAATATAGAAGAGCGAAGCAGAGGCAGAGATCATATAACTCAAAATCTCTCTCACGACCCAAAGCGTAAAGCAATGTTCAAATTCAGTTTAGGGTTTCAAAATTACCTTGATTTTAATATCGTGGCCTGTAGGGAAACTCGAAGGCAAAAGAGAGGGGGCTTACGAGTTTGGGGACAGAGCGGTGATGAGAGAGGCTTCGTCTAGCGGCGGAGAGTGTGCGAGGTAAAATCGTAATAAAAGTTAATTTTATGTAATTTAGAGGTAAAATGGGAAAAATAATGTTGTAAAGAAGAAAAATAGAGAAATGAGAATTATGGTTACTTATTTAGGGATATAGAGTTATTATTATTATTATTATTAATCTTGAGGCCGTGGGATCGAGTCCAATGAATAGCATTTCATAATTTGAAGGTCTCCTACGGAAGCTGTTCTCAATCTAATGTTGAGGGCAACCTACTATTTAACATCTCCCTTATCCTATTACATATGGGAACAAGGGACAACCATTATTATTGTTATTATTAATTTAAAGTAATTATAAAATAGTATCTATTATAAATATTTATTATCATTTGACAATAATAATTCAAATATTTTTATAAATTTTAATACTCAAATATAAGAACCTTTAATGATAACAACTATCTTTTTTAAATATGAAAACCTCAAAGATAACAACTATCTTTTTCATTACAGATAGATTAATTAGTAATTTAGGAATATAAATTGGATTGGATGTTATCGTAATTAACAAAGTTGTAGTGATTCTTTTTTATCTTTAAGATTTTTTTTAAATTGATCTTTTACGTGGACAGTACGTTTATTGCTTATTTCTTGTGTATAGAAATCTTTAGAAAAGGCTTTTTTTTTTTGTAAATTTATATCCTCTAATTTTCACATTCATTTAATATGATTTCTGACAGGAATACGTGATTATTGGTAAAATGAAACGATAGTACTAATTAGAAAATATTAAATAAAATAATCAAACATAATAATATTCATATAGTGGTAATTCACTGCTTTAGAAGTGAATTCTCTCTTATATGTATAATTATTATAATGAATGAACTACCACCCAAGGTTAATACGATTCCTCTAAATTTCGTCACCCAAAAATAGAATGGACTTAGGTAGTATTGTTATCCTCTAAGAAACATAACTTGGAAAAAGCTAAAGAGCTTATGAGAGAATACATTTGATAGAAAATTTATTTTTATTGGTGATATACAAAAGTTGAAAATGAACTCTCTATTTATAAGCTTAAAATAAATATGAAATAGTAAAAAATTTAATAGTGGTTACAAAATAATTAATTGTCATAAATACTATTTTAATGACTATAAACCATAATAAATATTTTGTAATAGCTAGAAATTGTAAAATATAAACCCTAATAAATAATATTTTATCGAAAGGATCGTATCTAAAAAGAAACGCACACGAATTGAATCTGACCATGCCAAATAATACCTACCCAATGTAGAATTTTTTGTATTGCCAAAATTCCCCACTAATGCGACAGGTTTTTTTTGTAAAAATGAAGAATTGGAAGTTAAGACGCGAGAAGAACAGTAGCAATACTAACAGCTTAAGCACTAGTAGACGTACCAAGAACTAGTACATAAAGACAATGTGTAATTATTCTCTTAACTAAGTGAATGGATCTTGAACTTGTTAAGATATGAGTGAACTCATGACACACAATTAATTTCATTCATCCACTTAAGTCCTCGATAAATCAAAATATATATAGGGATATGATCCACTTACACTATGTAAAACTAATAAGTTTTACACTAATATATAATCATTAGATTTAAATAAATAGATGACTAAGATTTAATTAAAAGGCTTAAATACACAAAAGGTGTCCAAACTATGTCCGTTTTTCAGTTTAGTGTCTAACGTTTATTTCGTTTTAATTTGGTGCCTAACGTTTTATTCCTTTACTCAAAATGGATCAAGCCGTGATGGACCGTTAGTTTTTCCGTTAAGTGACACAAGTCGGAATCTCGTAATTTTGAAATTTATTTTTTAAAAAAATATTAAAAATATTTTTATATTTATAAAAAAATCCTTATTTCTTTTAAATTACAAAAAAAAACCACAAAATCCCTAAAATCCTAACACTAACCCCCGTCGCCGCCCTTTCTGGCCACGATCACCGTCGCCGACGTAGTCATTGTCATCATCCTAGTTATAGGTTGTTGTAGTTGTAGTCGATTGGCCGTCGAAATCACTTGGGATTACGATTTTCATCCTAGGGTTCGCGGGTATAAAATGTCGATTCGCCGTCGATCGACCATTGATCATTCATGATTTCATAAGAGTTTTGGTCGCAGGAGAGGTGAGGTCGGGTGGAGCTTCGTCGACGACAAATGGTGGAGGGCGACGTGGGTTTAGAGGTTGAAATGAAGGTTTTTAAAGTTTTGGGGTTATTTCGAATTTTATGTGTTTTCTTTTTTATTTTATTTTTACGTGTCACTTAACGGAAGAAATTAACGATCCGTCACGGCTTGACCTATTTTGAGTAACAAAATAAAACATTAGGCACCAAACTAAAACAAAATAAACGTTAGACACTAAACTGAAAAAACAGACATAGGTTGGACACCTTTTGTATATTTGAGCCTAATTAAAATTTATAACCCATAAATGAAATTTTCCCAACTCACGGTAAAATAATATTTTTTCTGTAAACCGAAATACTATCTTCTCCATCGTTTCTCTTTTGCTTCTCCATGGTTTGGTTTCTCTTACTTGGTGTGCCTTCCGCAAATCCCATTAATATATTCCATAATGCTTAAGAACAAAGCATAAAAGGGAAAAAATCTAAATAGCATCTCATTGACTTTCTAAATAGTTCTTATCTCAGATAGAGTTAACTCAGGAATATTGTAGTTCTACTAAAAACCTGCTTTGTATTACCGAGCATCGAAGACTGAAAATGTTACATCATTTACAGAACAAATTTCAGTCCTGCTCTGTTTTACCAAGTTGTCTTCCGCCATTCCTGTTGCATTGAAGAAAGCTGGTTGTTTAGGAGAAGGTAAGGTCAAGCTTTCATTGGTAAGCATCGAGAAAACATCGGACGTGATCGGTCTATCGTCTGCAATTTCTTGGACACAAAGTAGCCCTATGTTAACATATCTGATTGCCAAATGTGTAGGCACTTTCTCCAGCGTTGGATAAACTATGCCCATTGGACTGTTGCTTGTCCACAAACTCCATGCCTTCAATCACAAGAAAAATAACGAATTGAAGAAAGTATTTGAGCTGAATGGTAAACCAGTTTGAATTTATGAAGTAAACTGTTAATGCAGTTTAGAAACTCACGTGGGCGACGAGTTGAAGGGAATTAGACTGATAAAAACCAGTGTTCTTCTTCCCACTCTCAATCTCCAGTAGCAAGACTCTACAGCTAAAAACATCCGATTTCACTGAAAACAGGCATTCGAGAGCATACTCCAGGACAATATAGCCGCTGAAAGTGAATGTTCAACTCAAAAGTTGTTAATAATTGTGCACAGTTATGCAATGCAAAGCATAGTCAGTGACACAAAGTGCAGTCGTTTACTACATATATATATATATATTGCCCGCATATCCTTAGAAATCTGGTAAGTGTATTAGAAAGGCATCACCCTGTCTTTCATAGAAAGTGGTTATTCTGTCTTAATTACGCAAGTAATTTTATCATATTTATCTCAATATAAATCACTCAGATCAGGGTTATAAAATTATTAAGAGATAAACTCTTCAAGTTCATAAAAATGAACCACTCAAATTTTGGTATAAGAATTCATCAATAATAAAATGTCAATCTTTTTTACTGGTGAATTTAATACATTTTTCTCAAATAAGATCATTCAAAATTTTGAGATTGAATTTATTAAGAGTAAGAATTTATTTTTTCTAGCGGTAAAATTATTTTGTCTTTCTCAATTGACTATAGATTCATCAAGAGTGATTATTCAATCAAAACGACAAATTCATCCCATCCTTCTCACTGAATTTGAGTCAAGAAATAGGGCTGGAGATGAGGTTCATGGAGGAAGGTTGATTGACAGTTGAAAACGTGAGAGGAATTAATGCCATTTCTGACGACATTTTAATTTCATGGCATGTGTGTGGATTGTGGTCTTCTGTCAAGTTATGTAAGCATATATATATATATATATATATATATATATGATCTCATATTATATTAAATGTAGGGCAGCAGAAAAATGCAGGCAGGCGGGCAGGAATGCAGGTAAGTAGGGAGTGGGGCTGCCTGTATATTGAAGGCAGTAATGCCGGTTTTAGGATGCTTTCACCTCTACCTTTGCTTTTTTCAGTCAAAATTAATGCAAAAATATTATTTTATATTCACATCAAACTAATAAAAAAATTAACTTTAATTTTCAAGCTTGGACATTAACCATAACATGTAGAGAAATGTGAGTATGAATATTATCAAATTTAATTTAAATTAAATTTATACATAATTACAGTATAAATACATGAACATAATTGATTTTTATAAGACTATTTTTTTGGATTAATTTATTCTTCATAAATATATGATCATAGTTGAAAGTTTTAAAAAATTTATTCTATAGATTATTGAATTTTTATAAGACTGTTATATCATAATTTGATCCAGATAAGAACTTTAAATCATCATTTGACTCGACTTGATGAAAAATACTTTATCATAAACAAAAATACATTAATATATACATAAATTGTATAAATAATATATATTTTTGCTTTTACGTTGCATAATATATTATAAATTCTAATAAAAAGAGTTTTATAGATTTCCATACTAATATACTTTATTTTAAATTTGAAGGTTAATTTTATTTAAAAAAAAATTATAACAGAGATAGTTTAATAAAATAACATATTCGTGTATTTTTTCTGATTAAATATTATAACATATTAATCTATAATATATATATATTCTACAAATATAACTATTTAAATCTAAATCTTTTAAGGATAACAATAATTTGTTTATCACTAAGATCACTCAATCAATTGTTAATGTTTAAATATTAATAGTATAAATTAAATAAATTCAATGCTTAATGTAAAAATAAGTATCCAAACTGTACCTAAAATTAACTTTAGTTACCTAAAATTAACTTTAGATACCTATAGATTTTTTAGTTAAAAATAGTTGTCTAACGTTTTTAATGTTACACTTTTAGGTGTCTGGACGTTAACACTATTAAATTTGATAATTAAGTGACAGGTGTTAGGCATATAAAATTTTAATAAATTTTTAAAACTTTTATAAACATGACACGTGTCATTTAACGATAAAATTTAACAAAAGACACCTAAAAGTATAATGTCAGAAACATTAAACACCTATTTTTAAGAAAAAATCTTTAAACATTAAAATTTAATTTTGAGTATAATTTAATACTTATTTTTGCATTAAACCTAAATACAATCGAAAAGATTTATCTGTAATAAACTTCAATAATATATTATTTAAATTAATAAATCAATTAAAAAAAACAGACTCCACAAATTCCAACCCAACTACTTTTACATACATTAATCTCTTTTGTGTAAGACAAAGTATGACATCTTTTGCAACTTGCCAAACCTTATTTTATTCTTTCTTTTGTGAATCTTATGTGTTTCATCACGTGCTTGCAAACTCACCTTGTCTCCCTCACTTACCTAATCTTTTTAAAGTAATACATGTGAATAAAAAATATATAGATAAATATTAATTAATCTAGTGCAATGAAATATGAAAACTCTTCAAATTAAAAATTTCAATTTTATTTAAATAAATATTTTTTAAAAAATTATCTAATAATAATTTTATATAATATTCAATTTAAATTAATTAATTAATAAATTAAATACTAGTAATTATATAAAAATACATACTAATAAATAATGTAACCTAAATGTGAATATCTACCAATTAAGATCCAACTGAGCTGACAAAGATTTTTTTGTTCTTTTTATTATTATAAGTGTTCTTATATGTCTTATGATATAAGATTACATAATATTTTATATTTTGTAATCATTAATAATATACACAAATTATAGATGCAATTGCTCAAGATATTAAGAAAATAATATTCATTTTTAACCATTAAAGTCACACAATAAATTTACGTAATATTTTATCTAAATTCCAATTAATTAAAGTATTCACATAATATATACAAGAGTGAAAAAAAACATAAATTAAAATAGGTATAATGCCAAAATTGATATTTAATATTTACTAAAATAGTCATTTTGATATTTATTCTTTTTTATAGCCCTCGATATTTTATTTTAGGGTAAAAATTATCCTATTTTGGAGCGTTAATCATTTGTCAACTAATAATTTTCATCTACAGAGGTATTTTTTCACCTAAAATGAAACGTTGAGGGTCAAAACATTAAAAAATAAATAAAGATCAAAGTAACTATTTAATCATACATTAGGGCGTTTAAAATATCTAAATCCTAATTTGTTGTGCATTATTTGGGATGACAATTTAACCCGAAGACGACGGGTTATGACATTAACCAACCTAATAGGATCGAGCTTTTTTAATTAAAAAATCGAATTCAGATAGAGTGGAAGGTGAAAACCTCCAACACGACCCGATCCAGATGTAATAAAGTATTTTTTTATATAAATTTATGAATAATTGTTATAATATTCTCTCCCTCTATATTTTTTAATTGGGTCTTTAATTTATGTCGGTCGGGTCAGATGTGATCGTGCTTATCCTCCAAAAAATTGGATTTGGATGAAGTATATATATATATATATTTTTTTTTTGAAACAAATGAATGATATATATTTTTTAGGTCAAGTTTAGATGAAGAATGTTTGTTTTTCAAATTGAAACAGATCGAGTGAAATATATATATTTTTAACTGGACCCTATATATTTTCTAAATTATATTCGATTTCAACTCGACCGTTGCCATCTCTATGCGTTATACACAAATTATAGGGAAAATAAAAAGTTGGATAATATCTTTTTCCTCCAATCAAATCATTATTGGGATCATGTTTTTGTATCGTCTGTCTATGCACACCGAAGAGACCCCATTGGTGCAATAATGCTTGTCCCCTTTTTCATTCAATTCATTTCATTTCAACCACCGTTTACTCCAATGTTAAATAGTAATAAATTTGCAAGTAATGGAACATAACTTTAAGGTTACACGTAAAATTTGTATTTTGTACCATAGTCTTAGGCATATCTTGAAATATACCTTAAAAGTTTAAATAAATTAGAATCGATTTAATTTCAATTGGATATTTTTTAATTGCAATCATTTTATAATTTTACCCATTCTTTTATATAAAAAGGTAAAATAAATTATTAAACAAATAAAAATAAATTATTTTTAACACTAATACAAGTGAATTTTCGTATTATTAGAATACCGATTATTAATTTATTATAGGTGTTTAAATATAATTTTTTTCATTAAAGAACTAAGGACTATGACCCACATGTGTATAGTCACCGTTCATATATTTAACTCGATTTGTATTAAAACGAGTTTATGGTACATAAACATATGTATTATTTGGATAATTTTTTTTGGAATTCCATACGATTTTAATGGTAAATCGACAATACCTTTACTATTATAGTTTTTAGATTAGATTTAATGTAATCATTTTAAGTTTTAACACATCACATATTTGAGTACACGAATATATAGATATTATATTATTCTTAAAAAATACATTTATTTTATGATAACACTGATTTGAATTAAATTGTCTCTAAAGAAATGTTTTTTTTATTACAAAACAATAAATATATTTTATTTTGTACTATTTATTCTTATTTGTCGTTATTAATGTTTCTTCTTTGTAACATTATTATAGCCAACAAATTCAAATTAAAATTTATGAAATAAATAAAATTTAAAAATTATTTTAAAATGGACATAAATCTAAAATTATATGAATATCTTGTAAGTAATGATTAATTAATCCAAAAAGTAATACAGTTAATGTAAACTCTCATTAGATTAATTAATACACTTCTCCATGTCACTACACATATACGAAATTTAGTGTAATAACAAAATACCACCTTTAATACTTCAATAGTAGCAACAATAACCCCAAAATAAAAACTCCATTACAATTTGATCCCCCCACCCACATTTAAAAATAAAATCTTAATTATAGCTATATTATTCTTGCACAACCATAATAAGCAAAAACAGTATTAACATGTCTTGAGTGGACTACCGCAAAGACAATCGTTGCCGTCGAACGATGAAGCTTCAAGGTGATCGAACGGCATTCCGACGGGAATCTCACCGCAAAGATGATTATGGCTAAGATCCAAATGCCCGACGTATTTCGCCGACGATAACGATTTCGGAACTGGGCCTTTTAGGTTATTGAACGATAAATCGAGCACCATGTAGTACGATTTCGGGCCGAAAACGTCCGGTATGCCCCCTTCGAGGGAGTTCCGGCTCAAGTTCAAGATACCCACACCGGAGTTCCCCATCACCGCCGGTGGTATTTCGCCGGAAAACATGTTGTTGTCCAAGTTCAACGTTGCGAGCACCTTCATTTTGCCCAACTGAGGTGGAATTTGACCCCGCAGCTTGTTCATGGATAAATCAAGGTCGGCTAACCGATACATGTTGCCGATGGAGGTTGGGATCATTCCGGTGAGTTGGTTTCGGCTCAGTAACGCGCGGCTCAGCATCTTGAGGTTACCAAACTTGACGGGAATCTCATCGGTGAGGAGATTGTTGCTTAAATCGAGGTGTTTTAAGCTCGAGAGTTGGACAATGGAGGTTGGGATTTCGCCGGTTAGCTTATTATCCGCTAAGTTTAAAACAGTGAGCTTTTGGAGATTCCCTATCTGTTCTGGGATTTTCCCCGTCAGCGAATTGCCGATGAGATCGAAGACTCTTAAGTTCGGTAACGCCGCTACGCACGGTGGGATCTCTCCGGCGATTCCTTTCCAGTCGGCTATGATTAGCGTTGTGAGCTTGTCGAGTTGGCAAATAGAAGGGTGGATCGAACCGGTCATGTAGCCGGAAGTGGAGTGGCCGGGTTTCTGGAGAATGGGGTCCTCCGACTCGCCGCGGAGGGAGACGTCGGTGACTCGGTGAGTCGTGGGGTCACAGCTGATGCCGTACCAGTTGGAGCAACAGTCGGTGCCTTTCCATGAATCGAAGATGCCTAAGTATGGTTCCTTTAGCGACGAACTTAAACTCAGCAATGCTTCTCGGTCGGACGGTGGGCAGGCATTGACGGCGCCGGAATAAATGGCTAAAAACAACGGCAAAGCTATGGCGGTGAAGGAGAACACTCCCATCGGATCTTTTTTTCTTTTTGATGAACAAATGTGTGAATTAAATGGAAATGTGGGTCTGTTTTTGGATCTGAAATGAAAATGGAAGTGAAAGGGAAGTAGAGTGAAGAAGGATGTACGAAAATGGTGTTATTAGGGAGAGGTAGCTTTATAATAGATTTGCCTTTGGCCTTTTGGAGTGTAAATAATATTCATTTCATTTGATTATTTTAGTCAAAAGGGCACGCCGAGTTACTGTATTTTTTTTATATTAATATGATATTTGTATTATTTTTTAAATATAACTTTTTAATTTTAAAAAAATTAAATGTAATTATTTTATCAATGATTTTTTTCTCGGTTAATTTCTGCTGACATGGTACGTAAAGTAGGCCAGTGTCCTATGTAATGTTGTTATAACGAGTAAATTATATCATTCATCATTTAATTATAATCTCTCTCATTTTGGTGATTAAACTTTAAAAGATTTTAATTTAATCACTCAATTTTTGAATTGTTCGTATTTTAATCACCATGACATATTTTTATTAATATTTATGTATGATATGACATTTATTATTATTATTTTATTAATATATAATTAAAACAATATTAATTAAATTAAAATTTTAAAATTGTATTCAAATAAAAAATATTTTCCAAAACCCTAAATCACAATCTCAATTAATCTTTTACCATTTTCGTTTTTCATCTTAAATGACGAAACAACAACAAAAATCAACCTCACATAAAAAAACAAGACAATAATAGCGAAAAAATAAAATATAGAGAAAAATGTTATTTAAGCTTGTGCTTTAGGGTTTTGAGAATATTTTTTATTTAAATACAAATTTGAAATTTTAATTTAATTAATATTATTTTAATTATATAATAATATAATAATAATAATAATAAATGCCGCATCACACACAAATATTAATAAAATATGTCATGGTGATTAAAATAAGAGCAATTCAAAAGTTAAGTGATTAAATTGAAAACTTTTAAAGTTTAGTCACCAAAATAAGAGAGAGAATATAATTAAATGATGAATGATATAATTTACTCATTGTAACAACATTACATAGAGCACTCATGTAAGAATTAACGGAGCCATTTATTAATGATAGAAAACGTTGATTAAAGGGTTATATTAGATTTTTTTTAGTTGATGACTACATTTAGTTGTTTTTAAGCATGGAGACTTCGAGTACCCTTTTACCATTATTTTATTAATAATTGTTCATATTGAATACAAATGATATTGGGACGGGATGGGTTGTGCTAAACTTATAATTTAAGAGGTTTGATTTGAATCTAACCTAACATCGATTTCAATGTAATATATTTTGATTTGATTTTAACCCAATATAATGAAAGCATAAATAGACTCTAATTCGACTTTAAAATTTTAACAAAAAATCGATCTTTTTCATCGTGAATTCGATAAATTTAATATAAAAAAATCTTAAATATCATATCGGAGTGAATTTCATCTAAACCTGACCTTAAATTTTTTAATAGAAACATACCTCATATTGCTTTGACCATCTATTAAAAAGTGAAATGGACTTCTACTTTTGGTCAATTCAGAAATTAATCCTTTGAATTAGTTTTGAATTCGAATTGATCAAAACAAGTCATTATAATTTAAATTATTTTAATTTTAATTTATTTATATATAAATCAATTAAATTGTTCAAGTATACATATAAATGGTACTTAATTGAGAAGTTAGTAAATATTGGGAAAATAGTTTTATATATGATCTGATCTATTGACAGACTAATTCAGGTCGAGTTTTGCAAAGACTCATCCTACTAGACTAACTGGTTGTTGATGAGAGAAGATAATTTATTTAACTTCTAAATAGCCTTATTAAATTTTTCAAACTCAAAAATTTGGGAGTGGCTACTTATTTAAATTACAATTAAATCTCTAGGGTTCTAAACTGCTATTAGACTTAAAAAATAAGGAGAATGGAACACTCCCAATTAGGGATGGGTATGAGACTTGAATTTGATGTGTTCCAATCCAATCCTATTGGGTTGGTTTTTTCTACAAATATGGGTTGGATTTTTTAGATTATGAGTTCGGGTTGGATTCATGTTTATGGTGAAAATATATGAAATGGCTCGAAAGTTAATATAATTATTTATATATTTAAAAATAATTACAATAATATTATTCTATGTATAATTATTTTTCAATTCGATCCATATTTTATCGAATAAAATTAATATTTTATATATATATATTTGTGTCAAGTCATATGCGAATTTCATCTTAAAAGATGAGTCAGATTTTGAGTTAAATGGTATCATCCTAAATCCGAATCGGATCAAATTTTGAATAGATGATGTATGCTTATTAGATCATATCGAATTAATCTAAAATCCAACCCATACCCGTCCATACTCCAAATATCTATTCGACATCATTACTCTTTAAGATGAACCATATTAATAAAAAAAATGACCAATAAAATTCACATGCATTCATGGGGAAATGAGATCAATCAATTGGTCCCCGTATTAAAATTCTGTTTATGATTTTAATTCTTTTGAGGACCCCTTGCCTCTTTTTTTTTTTTTTACAATTGCATCCATTTCGTTGGTTTAATGATTACTATAAAAGATTACAAATATTAAAATGAAAAAAGGAAAAGAAATCACACACACATCATGGTGAATAGTGACACTGGGTGAGATTTTAATCATGAATTATATTAATTTTGGAGTGTCTAACATGGATGAATCAATTTCAATAATCAAGCATATTCTTACTAGCATCAAGCCACCATGATTAATCTCACCATTAATTATGTATTAATCTCGCCCTCCATGATTGAAGCTATTTAGTACTAGCACGAACAAAACAACTTTAGTAGTTAAATTTTTTTTCCTATTCATTGAGATCTCAAATTCGGACATCTCCGACTAGTAAAAAAAAAGTTATTAAGTACTAATATATTGATGCAAAAATATGTTCAACTCTCGAATTGAATGAGCTTGACTTGAGCACGAGGAAACGAACTACTTGATATTCGACTCAAAAAGCTCGCTACCAACTTGAAAAAATAATATATTTTTTTAGATTTTAAAATTAAATTATTAATAATATTAATATTATATGTTATTATTTGAAAAAAAATACAATATAAGTCTTTTATATACTTAAGGTTCAAGTTCGAGTTATAGTTTAAGCTTCAATCGAACTAAGTTTGAGAATATTCCAAGTTCGAGTCGAGTTTGACAATTTTAAGCTCGTGAGGTCACAAGTCGAGTTGAGCTCAATTTTTCAATTTTCAAATCGAGTCGAGCTCAACAATACTCGGACTCGGCTCGGTTACAATCCTAGTTTTGTGGTAGGCTTTTTTTGTCTACAATGGAGACTCGTTAAACTATAAAAGAAGGAACGAAGGGATGGGAGAAATTTAGAAGCAAGCTTGGCTGGTTGACTTTTAAGACCGGACCTGAAATTGAAGATGGAATGGGGTTTGGCCATGGAACCACATGGTGAGACCGGTACAACCTCCGACAGACACCATTGAGGGGTCCCTTTTACCCAGCTCGGAGCTGATGAAATAACATGGGAGGGTTTTGTCTTTACTACCACATCATGTCATACTCAAAGTTCTCACATGCATTTGCTATTTGCCCATGTCATTACCAAACAATGCCCTACCACAACACCCTTATACATCAATCATTGATTCATTGATTTTTCTTTATGTCTTTCCATGCATGTATGAGATAATTATTTGACTCAATTAGAAAGAATTTGATGTTGAAAAAATAGAGATTTGAGGATGATATCAGATTAATTAGTGAAATAGGGATATTTCTACGTTGCAGGTGAAGTTGTTAGCAGTTGAAATCGACTTTGATAAAATTGTCAGAAACTGCCGACGATATTGTTCCCTTTTTTGTATATTAGGATTGAATTGAAAGAAAAATTAAAGTATAAGGATTAAAATGAAATTTTATAAAAATGACTATGATAAAATGGAATAGCAAATCTAAAGATTAATTTAGGGCAAATATAAGAAAATATATGCTCAAAAATAATATTCAACCTTTTGACATTAAAGGTTCTCACCCATAACATTCCTAGTGTTTGAACCCGAAGCTTCAAAAAATAACAACAATTCATTTACCATCGAAGTCACGGGTTCGTGCAACATATCTAAAGAAGGCGCCCAAAAATTGATTTAATGTTTATTTACAAAAGATTCTTATTTTAGTCATTGACTTTCATTTCATTACAAATTGTTACAAAAAATGTAAAAGAAACTGAAGCAAAATCATAATCAGCCGTAGACGACTTTAACCATCATTGTGAAAACATACCTATTCTTTTAATTAATTCAACACCATCCTCAAATTCTAAATTTTATCCGCAAGATCCATTTCTCCTAATTTTACTTAACCATTTCACGTATTAGCAATGAAACAAGTAATTTCCCAGAACTATTTTAAAAGACATAAGATAATAAGTTTCTTAACCATCTAACTTTAATCTATTGATTAATTCATTCATATTTGGTACAATATGATACTATAGAGACTTATTACGATAAGAATCATCCCAATCCAATTTGTTTCTCTTAAAACCTCGAAACCTATTGATGAAATATTCCAAAACGAGTATTGTATAGTCCCATTACGAAGACGACACTCTCGGTTCAAGTTGTTCAATTTTAATCTTGATTCAAATAATTAATGATAATATAACTAAACTACTTATATTATTTTAAATATTAATATGTGTTTGAATAGCTAAAAGAATAAATAAAATACTTATCTTTCTTTTAATTCCATTGATATTATTTTTATTTTTTAATAATGTTAATCTTAACAAAAATATCACTAAATGGGTCGGGTTAAGATACACGGGTACAATTTGTCAATGTGTTTGGGCCGAATATTAGGAGTGGAGCTATCTATTCAAGCATTACATGGACCAACCATGCCCAAATTTGAGGTCTAATATGTATTATTTCGCCTATTACTAGTTTTCTTTCTTTCTTTTTTTACTTCGCCTATTACTAGTAAATGTGGTAAATGGGCAACTTTGAGGTCTACAAGCATGTGATTTGATGCTTCCAAAATGAGGATGCATGGGACATGCAG